ATTTTGGGATATATTCAGGCTTGGTCATGTAGCAAGTAATATTTATCTTGCTTAATTGGAGCATAGAACATAGTATTAACATTTGTAAACTAGTAAAAGCCGTAATTCATGTGGGTCAGATTAGTTTGCGATAAAAAAAAAAAAACAGAAAAAGTCAGTGGGCTAGGTTGTTTGCCTGAGTGGGCGGGGCTGACTCTGGTGCAGCTCCACCTTTGTGGTTCCGCAGCGAGCACCCTCTCGAGTTCTGTGCGGTCTGATCCTGCTCTAATCGGCGGACAATTGACACTATAGCTCAGGGGATTACTTTTCACAAGTACGTTTTTTTGTTGTTTGTATTTTTTAAATGTAACTTTGCTGGACTGTATTTGTCCCCCAGCAGCACCTTCTAGTCCACTAACGTTAGCTACATGTTTACTGTTGCTGTCTCCTTGACAGTTAAGTTAAATTAGACTTTATTAATAATTTATTCCTTAACACTGACTTATATTACAGTTGAAACAAAATGCTGCCGTAGAAACCAAACAAATCTTCCTGGTATCAGATATATCTCATGTCTCTGACCCTCCTCTCCTAGACTGGAGAGTTAGCTAACATGCTGGAGAGACGCTTTTCGGTTTCACCCTTTGAAGAGTTTTGGTTCATTGTCATTAGAAATGCAATTTTTAGGTTAAATAACGATTCTGAGAATATCTAAGGATAAAATAAACAGAAGGGTAGAAATAACACAATCCAAGATGGCAGTGCCATCGCTTGTCAGTGCCCATAGGCAGTAGCAGTCACGGGGGGTCTACCTATGTCTATGTGCATGGTACATCATAAAAAACAAGGATACCTATTGGCTGATTTCTTTTTCTACTGCTCCACTGCTAGATTGTGGCTCATTACTGCCGCACACTGACCGCAAATTTAACAGATTGTAACTGATGTAAGAGACTGTTAAAAATAGACCGCTTACGGTAAAAAGTGATTATAAAACTACTAATCGATGGCAAAAGAAGTTGTCAACTATTTTAATAATCGATTATAATCGATTAAATTGATTAGTTGTTTCAGCTCTGCTGCAAATGTATTGCATAAATGAGTGTCCCACACCTTTAAAGGAAACAAGTCTGGAACAGGCCTATGATGAACATCCTGTTAGATGTTTGCAGACGTTACTATGATTAGGCCATGTGTACCTCACTTGGCTGTAACTGTTGCTGACAAATTAAAAATGGCATTCATGTGGGAGTTTCCAAAATGTTCATAAGTGTTCACCAGTGTTCCTAATTTCCACACACAAGTTGCAGGGCCTGGATGTCATGTTAAAGTGGTTAAAGCTGCAATAGCAAATTTTGTTTTATTCATTTAAATGTTGCCAACTGCCACAACAGAATATCAGCAGAGGAAATGGAAGTTTTCTACCTCAAACATGAACAGATGCTTCAGAATAACATGCAGAAGTTTAAAGATCTGACGGTTTGATTTTAATCAGTTGTGGGAAAATGTTCGTGATCATTTTGTGGCAGCAATGGGTGTATGGCAAGCAGTTATGTCTCATCATCATCAGCTTTATTTATATAGCACTTTTAACCATTGAGCTGATGCACCATATCACTTATTATCAAAACATATTAAATACAAACGGCAAGTGACAACAGCAACTTAATAAAACTAATGAAGGAAAATAAGTTCATTTATCACTTTTCGCAGATAGAAATTACAAAATGCTTTTCAGACAAACAATAAAACTAGTACAATGAATAACAGAATTACAAGAAAACATGGAACACTAAAATTAAGAAAACTAAAAGAGAAAAGTGACCAGTGGGTGGGAGGGATTATTGAAAAACAAAATGTATGTGAATCAAAACCATATAACTAGTACAATGAACTACAAAAATTGAAAGTAACAGGGAACTACTAAAACTAGAAGTAGGGAAAAAGCAGAAATTATGTAAACCAAAACAGAAAAACTAGTAGAGAGAACTACGAAAACATACTAAAACTAGTAAACTGAAAGTGAGGGGGACGGAGTATCAAAATACAAAAATAATGAAAACCAAAACAGTAAAACTAGCACAGAGAACTACAAAAATGTAAGGTAATAGCGAAGTACTAAAACTAGATACCACTGATGTTGGTGGCGTCTAGGGCTGAACGATTCTGGAAAGGAATCTAATTAGCTGCTAGCCAAAACTCAGTGGAGTTAAATTCTCTTACGGTTTTCTAGCTTTACTAAAATATCTCTCTGTACTTATTTCATTGATGGCAGTTTTTACTTTTTATTAGACTCTAGGGCTGCACAATATATCGTAAATATATCGTTATCGCAATATCAGCACGCACAATATGCATATTGCAAAGAACAGATAAATATTGCAATGAATGGTGTGCTCAAATGTTTGCTACACATAATGTATTCTGTCAGTCAAATGGAAGTATTATGTTTTTTTTCAACAAATCAAATAGAGCTCTTCACCCATTTGGCCAAATGGGTGGGTTCTCATAGGTTAGATGCCCACCTCCGAGGCGGACGGCACTTAATTTTGATGGTTAGCAAACGCCTGAGTTAGCTTCATTAGCTCTTTCTGCTGATTTTGCTTTTCCCGGGATCCACTGATTGCCTTTTCTTGTTCATTTTTTTCGCCTTTCCTCATATCTTTTACTTTTCTCATTTTAATGTTTTTTTAAATTGCTTTGTTTTTGATCATTTTTGTTCCTGAGTTAAGTTTTATTTATCGCAAGTAATATCGTCATCGCAATATTAATCATTGTTATCAAATATTGTAGGTTTTCCTTATTTCATGCAGCCCTATTAGATTCCAAATGTAATCAATTGGCACGTTCCTAGTTCGTAATTTGTAAGAAAGTAATCAACGATATTAGCATTAGCATCCCTATGGGTTTTTCCATGTATATTAGCACTGTGCTAATCACTTTCCAGTCAGATCGCTGCCTTTGCGATTAGAAAAGTCTCCTTTTGTCACATCGCTATTTAATTGCATATGCAATTAATCGTTCAGCCCTGGTGGCGTCATTTCCGTTTATCTGCGGGCAGCAGAGGATGATATCACCTACTACTGCCTGCGCCTTTCCTGTGTGTTGGTTGATCAAGTTCCATGAGTGGGCCTTCATTTCTGTTCATGTTCCTTATCTAAGTAGCTTTTTTGATCAACGGAGAAGGGGCGGGCAATAGAAGGTGAGATAGTCATCTGCTACCCACAGATAAATGGAAGAAACGCCACCAACTTCAGAAGTTGCTCTGATGAGGGCAGCAGTAGACGTCGAAACATGTCAGCAAAGGTAAAAACGAGCTTTATTTTCTCTGTGAATGAACCACAAAAAAATGTGATCGGATAAAAATCACCGAAACAAACTAAAAAACATGTTCAAAAGAGTTTGAGATAATTTGGCCTTCCATGGCCAACATGGGGTCCCAGATTTCAATAACAACTTTTTTGTTGCAGGATATAGCTTGTTGCTTCTACCTTAAGGTCTCTCATTGGTCTCAAGTGCGACTGTAAACAGCTAGGTAATTACAAACTTCTTCAGGTTTTTTTCCATTTCACGGGTGAATAATCGTTCCTATTTTCAGAGTTTTTCCGCAAGGTATTCTTCAAGCTGCTCAGTCAGTGCGTTTACATGTGCATCAGAAAACCGAAGTAATACCCTCAAAAGACTTGCATAAGTTTTTTAAAATGCATGTAAATGTTTTAGTCTGGTTGAAGGTGAACTGGTTTTAATCGAGTTGAAGCACCCAGATAATGCGTTAGCAATCCAAGTACATTCCGCATGTAAATGGGTCAGCCAAACTAAACTGGTAGTACGCTCGCATCACAGAAGTGATGAGACTGCGTAAGCGGTCTTCTGACAAGACCATTGTCACAAAGCAACATGTGTAACACAATAAAACAGCACAGTATATTCCATAGAAACTTTGCTGCAGCGTTGTTGTTGTGCATCCCTTCAGCTGTTGTGCATATCCTGTTTCAATTTTGTCTGCTTCACTCCCACCAGTCTAACCGGTAGAATGCTGACATGAAACGGGGCGTGTCGCCACCTACTGTACCGGAGTGGAACACACTTGATTTGAGAAGCCGGTTTTCTTATGCGCATGAAAAATAGGATAAAGACCCCCAGCTTATTACAATAAGATCGAACTGGATCGACTTAGACGTCAGTCAGTGCGCATGTAACCGCTCTTACTGTCTGTCAGGCAAGTAAGCTTGACTTCGTCCGTCCTTGCATGCCTGTTGGAGAACCCTTGCACCAACGGATAATGGCATTGTGTGTCTCCGTACCAACAGAGAAGAACGTAGATCCGTACCAAAACAGATGGAGAAGTATAAAATAGGCTTATCACTGAGTGTGTACCAAACAAGGTCAGGATCCATGCGGCTTCTGCAAAGAACGAAAATCATTGAGTCCAATCCAAGCGTTGCATTGCAGAGAAGACTGGGATGCAGGATATTTCTGATTTTGGGTTTTAGATAGTCATGAAGTTGAAGATATTACATGAGCCAGAGGGCTATCTGCTTTTTTTCTAAACAAGCTCATATTGCATCATTCTGTCTGCTTCATTTTTTGTTATTAATGACAGGGATATCAGGTCACAGAATATGATAAGCAGCTCCTCACGATACATCTTGTTGTTATCACAGGAACTCAGGAGCAAAGTTGTGGAGACTTTCCACACATGATCCGCAGCTTGTCCAGTCCACATCTCTTCCACACTGTGTAAAAGAGGCTTTAGACTCACCGTGACATCAATAATAAGAAGTCTACTAGCATTTCTTAGTACTCCTAACAGTACTTGGGAAGACTCAGTCAAGTATTTAAAAAAAAGCATAGTTCATGTATTTTGCTATTGAGTGTCTCACGAAAAATCTGTTCACTTTACACAAGATGACTTGTGCTATATGTCACATTTTACTTGTAACTAGGTGTTGGTTTGATCAGTTCAGTAAGTAAACAGAAAACAACTTTTTAATCCAATGCTTTCTTGTTTGGCCATTTAGGAAATCCAGATTAGGAAAAGCAGTCTTGGAGTCCCAGTGACGGTGATTTCCAGCAGCTCAGACACTTCAGAATCTGAATCAGACACTGATTCATCAGACTCAGAGGGTTCAGATGATCTAGAGAACTGGATGATCCTTGGTCAAGGGATGCAGGATGGAGACCAGTCCATCTCACTCAACCTGGAAGCAGGGTCTGACTACAGCACAGGTGTGTTTGTTCATTTGTGTTTTAAAATTTGTGGATTTATTTGTATTTTTGCACATGTGTAGCCAGGAGAATGAAACCAGAGACCAATTTTGTTTGATTCAAATGCTTGAGAACATTCAGTCTACCTGCTGCACATTGATAAGGACCAGTTACAGCTACAATATTCTGCCTGTTAATGCATCTGTGTCGGCATTTTCACAACTTGTAAGCCCTTAGCATTTCTGACACTACCCAGCCATTTGCCTCTCTGATGCATCTTTAAGTGTGTGTGTGTGTTTGCACGTGCATGCATGTGTGTTTCTGAAGTATTCCAGGTCTAATCAACATGCACGTGTACATCCACGTGGAGGCCAACAGTCATAATGTTAAAACCAAAAACAAACAAGAGAGAGAGGGTGGGAGGGAGAGATGGGAGTAATCAGAAATGGAATAAAAATGTTCCCTGCAAATCTCTTCAGATCTACACATTATCTTAACCTGCAGCCTCAGCAACCTCTCCAGCTCCCTCCTCCTCCCTCCTACCTAATGCTCTTCCATCTCATTCTTTTATCCCATTTTCTCACTATTGTGCTCCCCTCTCTCTCTTTCTCTGTGTCCCTCACCATTTCTTCCTCATTTGAATTTCCCTGGGCTGATGTTTCTGCAAGAGTGCTCACTGCCTCCTCCACACACAAGCAGACTAAAGGAGGGGGTCTGGAGCTGGTGGGATGGCTTGAGGTTTTTGGCCTAGTTTTGATGGGAAAGCAGGATTTTAGGTCTCTGTCTTTCGTCTGGCTTCTCTCTGTGATCTTTGGAGCTTGACCTCATGTCTGCGCATTGGGGGTCATGGGTGTGGTGTGGAAGGAGTCTTAAAGTCAGAGGAATGGGGGAGGGCTTTGTCAAAAAAAGAGAAGGAAATAAAGGCAAGGAAATTAAGGGACGAGCCTCAGTAGTCTCGAACTGTGCTCCGATTCTTTTCTTCTGACTAATTCAAAGCTGGTCTTGGGTTTAATGTGTCTTCACCCTACCTGAAACAAGAAAAGGCATATTTACCAAAATATTCATTTATGCAAAAGGGTTGGTTTTTGTGTATTCAAAGTCACTTATTTTGCTGTAGTTTTCCTGTTTTCTTACATAAACACAATTATTGCATTGTTGGTTCTTTTTTAAAACACAGAAAAGGTTTCTTTTTTACTTTGCTGCATCATCGGGGAGGGGAGAGCGGATAAACGGAGTAGGAAGTGACGCCACCATCAGCGTCAGCTCTGAGGAAGTTTGCATCCGCGAACGAAACTGTCTGCAGCAAGGTAAAAAAGAAAGATTTTCTGTGTTTTAAAAAAGAACCAACAATGCAGTTAGAAAAGCAACACAGTAAGAACATACCAAAGATGTTTAAACACAATTATGTTTTTGTAGTTTAGTCTTGTTATAAGAAGTATTTCATGCATCCATCCATCCATTCATTCATTCATTCATTCATTCATTCATTCATTCATTCATTCATTCATTTTAATCTGGAATCCATCCATTTTCATCTGCTTATCCAGAGTCGGGTCGCGGGGCAGTAGCCTAAGGCGAGAGGCCCAGACTTCCCTCTCCCCAGCCACATTAGCCAGCTCCTCCGGGGGAATCCCAAGGTGTTCCCTGTCCAGGTGAGAGACATAGTCCCTCCACCGTGTCCTGGGTCTACCTTTAGGTCTCCTCCCGGTTGGACGTGCCCGGAAAACCTCACCAGGGAGGCGTCCAGGAGGCATCCTGACCAGATGCCCAAGCCACCTCAACTGGTTCCTCTGGATGTGGAGGAGCAGCGGGTCTACTCCGAGCCCCTCCCGAATGACTGAGCTTCTCACCCTATCTCTAAGGGAGAGCCCAGCCACTCTTCGGATAAAACTCATTTTGGCTGCTTGTATCCGTGATCTTGTTCTTTCGGTCACCACTCAAAGCTCATGACCATAGGTGAGGGTAGGAAAGTAGATCAACTGCTAAATCGAGAGCTTCGCCGTCTGACTCAGCTCTCTCTTCACCACGACAGACCGGTACAACGCCCGCATCGCTGCAGATGCAGCACCAATCCGCCTATTGATCTCACGCTCCAGTTTTCCCTCACTCGTGAACAAGACCCCGAGATACTTAAACTCCTCCACTTGGGGCAGGACCTCATCCCTGACCCGGAGAAGGCATTCTACCCTTTTCCGAATCAAGACCATGGTCTCAGATTTAGAGGAGCTGATTCTCATCCCAGCTGCTTCAGACTCGGCTACAAACCGCTCCAGCGAAAGCTGAAGATGACGTTCTGATGAAGCCAGCAGGACCAAATAATCTGCAAAAAGCAGAGACCTGATCCTCAGGCCACCAAAACGGATGCCCTCCACACCTTGACTGCGCCTAGAAATCCTGTCCATAAAGGTTATGAACAGAATCGGTGACAAAGGGCAGCCTTGGCGGAGTCCAACTCTCACTGGGAACGAGCCCGACTTACTGCCGGCAATGCGGACCGAGCTCTGACACCGGTCATACAGTGACCTAACAGCCCGTATCAGAGGGCCTGGTACCCCATACTCCCGGAGAAACCCCCACAGGACCCCCCAAAGGACGCGGTCAAACGCCTTCTCCAAATCCACAAAACACATGTAGACTGGTTGGGCAAATTCCCACGCACCCTCCAGGATCCCCCTAAGGGTATAGAGCTGGTCCAGTGTTCCACGACCAGGACAAAAACCCCATTGCTCCTCCTGAATCTGAGGTTCAACAATCTGACGGACCCTCCTCTCCAGAACCCCCGAATAGACATTACCAGGAAGGCTCAGGAGTGTGATCTCCCTGTAGTTGGAACACACCCTGCAGTCCCCCTTTTTAAATAAGGGGAGCACCACCCCGGTCTGTCAGTCCAGTGGGACTGCCCCCGATGTCCACACGATATCGCAGAGCTGCGTCAGCCAACACAGTCCCACAACATCCAGAGCCTTAAGGAACTCCGGGCGGATCTCATCCACCCCTGGAGCCTTGCCACAGAGGATCTTTTTAACCACCTCAGGGACCTCAGCACCAGAGATTTAAGAGGCCAACCCAAAGTCACCAGACTCTGCTTCCTCACTGGAAGACGTGTCGGTGGGATTGAGGAGGTCTTCGAAGTATTCTGCCCACCCATCCACAACGTCCTGAGTGGAGGTCAGCAGCACACCGTCCCCACTATAGATAGTGTTGGTAGCGCACTGCTTTCCCCTTCTGAGGCGCCGGATGGTGGACCAGAATCTCCTCGAAGCCGTACAGAAGTCTTGCTCCATGGTCTCACTGAACTCCTCCCATGCCCGAGTTTTTGCCGTGGCGACCAACCGAGCCGAGTTCCGCTTGGACTGCCGGTACCCGTCAGCTGCCTCTGGAGTCCCACAGGCCAAAAAGACCTGATAGGACTCTTTCTTCAGCTTGACAGCATTCCTAACCGTCGGTGTCCACCAGCGGGTTTGGGGGTTGCCACCACGACAGGCACCGATGATCCTGCGGTCACAGCTCCAGTTGACCCCCTCAGCAAAGGAGGCACGGAACAGGGTCCATTCACACTCAATGTCCCCCGCCTCCCTCGGAACATTTTGGAAGTTGTGTCGGAGTTGGGAATTGAAGCTCCTTCTGACAGGAGACTCTGCCAGACGTTCCCAGCAGACCCTCGCGACACGTTTGTGCCTGCTTTGTCTGACCGGCATCCTCCCCCACCATCTGAGCCAACTCACCACCAGGTAGTGATCAGTTGACAGCTCCGCCCCTCTCTTCACCCGAGTGTCCAAGACATGCGGCCGCAGGTCAGACGAAACAACAACAGAGTCGATCATCGAGCTGCGGCCTAAGGTATCCTGGTGCCAAGAGCACATATGGACACCTTTATGTCTGAACACGGTGTTGGGGTTATTCGGTAGCGAACAATTAGTAAGCGTTAACTTACTTTTGGATTCTTCAATATATTCTGTAAATATGAGAATATTTACTGATTTATTAATTAATTAAGATATTCTTAGACATCTCCGGGGCACCACCCCGTTCTACCGGGGAAAAATTGAATCCAAAACTCTTATCAGTCTTTCTTGAAGTTCGTAGAATCCTTGGAGCAGAGACTTCTCTTCGACACAACAAAGCTACTGGAGACGAAAATCTGAATTTTATAACATTTACCGTAATTACCCGAATATAGGACGAGGTTTTTTTTTTATTAACAATTATGCAAAAGGGGGGGTCGTCTTATAATCGCCGACTAAGCAGAGGTCGTGGTGAGGTCATTGAACTAAAGAAGAAAAATGGCGGGGAGGAATCTGGAGTTAAGCGGATCTAAAACTAGGCAAGTTAACCAACAGCTGCGGCAGAGTTACGACGCAAACTTCAAAATGATGGTTGTCAACGCAGCAGAAGCAACTAACAACTGCCAGGCAGCCAGAAAATATGGCGTTACGGAGTGTAACGTCCGAAGATGGCGCATCCAGAAAGACCGTCTGAAAAATGCTAACAGCAAGAGAAAAGCTTTTCGTGGTCCACAACGCGGCCGCTTCCAAGAAATTGACAGGCGGGTGTGTGAGTTTGTTACTGAGAAACGTAATGAAGGTCTGCCCATTACCAGAGCAATCATCCAGCTCAAAGCCTTGAACATTGCCAAGGAGTTAAACATACCGACCACAGAGTTTAAAGCCAGCACCGGCTGGTGCATAAGGATGATGCGCCGGAGCGGCCTCGCGCTGCGACGCAGAACCAGCCTTGCCCAGCACCTGCCATCAGACTTCGCAGAGAAGCTGCAGTCTTTTCAGCGCTATGTGATTGGCTTGAGGAAAAAACACTCCTACACACTGGATCAGATCGGGAATGCCGACCAAACACCGGTGTTTTTTGACATGCCTACATCTGTGACTGTGCACACAAAAGGTGAGAAGTCTGTTATTGTGAAGTCAACTGGAAATGAGAAGAATCGGATCACCGTCATGTTGGCGTGCCTGGCAGACGGGACTAAGTTGGCCCCGTATGTGATTTTAAAACGCAAAACTGTG